ACAAGACAGTAGAACAGCCATGTTAACTATCCTGCATATGCATACATACAAATACCTTGAAAAGTTATATTTCATAAAGTAGTAGCTGTTTTGAATGACAAATACTTCTCTAAGATTCCAAACTAAACTTGTAAGACTTAACTTACATTGTCAAATAGAGAAATTTTTCAAAATTTAATAGCAAGAATAAAGATTTATTCAAAAAATAAATTCTAAACAAAAATAAATTCATTTTCCTCATGAACAGAGAATCAGGCTTAAGGCTCTGAAGCTATGCCTATAACATTAGCATTCTCCTCAAAGTTAATAAAATGTAAAACCAAAATATTTGATACTGGAACACAAAATTTGAACAAATTATGACTGAGGCAGAAAATGTCATTTGAAGCAATAAATTATGGTAAGAAAACAAACATATTTCTTTTTTTTTTGTTTTTTTTTTTTGGGTTTTTTTTCGTACTGGGAATTGAACTCAGGACCTTGCACTTGCCAGGCAAGTGCTTATGCCACCAACCTAAATCCCCAGCCGACAGACATATCTCTTTATTAAAAGTGATAAAAGAGAAGGATGAGTCATCGTCAAACTATTCTAAGTCACCTGAAATTAATATATATAAAGATAGCAGCAGGTATTTTTCTGGAGCTAGTGAAGTTATTCTGATTTTCATGTGGAAAAGATATTAAAGAGGCTGTCTCTACCAGATTTAAACACAAATATAACAATTACTCAGTATTTAAAGAAGTATAGTAAAAATGTTTAAATAGCCCATTGAAAAGGAATGGAAAGTCCAGAAATATGTGCAAATACAGGAATGAGAAGTTGTTTAAAAAGTAATATCTTGAATCAATGAAGAAAGTACAGACTTCAAAAATAAATGACATATAACTTGTTGGCTACCTAGAATACACAAAAGTTGGGTTCATATTGCTTATCTACAATGATAAATCTTTAAAAATCCATGAATTTCATGCAAAAAATAAGAGTGTTACTTTTGCATGGAGGGAAATGAAGTAGATAATCTTTCCCTTTTCTTTCTGCTACATACAATTAAAACCCTCCACACTATAGTAAAATGTCAGGTGTCATTATCAGTTAATTGCTTTAAATGTAAGTGGATTAAATTCTTCAATCAAAAAGATATTGGCAGAATGGATTCCAAAAAAATACATATTGCAACTACATACTGTTGACAAGAGACTTACTTTACATCAAAGACACAAGAAGATTGGAAGTAAGAGAGCATGAAAACATTGCATACACATGGTAACCAAGAGAGGTGAGGTGGTACTTTGATTTGAATGCTTTTGGTCCCTCTAAAATTCACACTGAAATTTAATCACCAGTGTAGCAGTATTGGGATGTATGACCTTTGGGAGATGATTGAGTCATTAAAGGATTAGGAGCCCTTCTAGAAGGGCTTGGCTGAAGGAATTTACCCCTCTTTCTTTTCTGTCTTCTTCCACATAGGAAGACACAGCATTCCTTCTTTCCAGAGGATATGGCATCAACATGTCTTCTTGAAAATAGAGAGCAGCCCTTGTCAGGCAACTAAACTTATTGGCACCTTGATCTTGGATTTCTGAGCCTCAATAACTGTAAGAAAATTAAGTTCTGTTATTTATAAATTGCCCACTATGTGGTACTTTGTTGTAAAAGTACAATAAGATTAAAACATATTAAGGCTGAGGATATACATCAGTGGCACAAGTGCCTGCCTGGTAAGTGCCTGCCTGGCAAGTGCAAGGTCCTCAGTTCAATTCTCTGTATGAAAAAAAAAAAAAGGATTAAGACATGTGGCTATTACTAATATCACACAAAATAGGTCTTCAGTAAAAAAAAAAAAAAAAAAAAAAAAAAGAGATTATGACTACTATTGGTCACATGGTCTGTAGACTACATATTTACCCAGATAACATTTACTGTATATGAGTTGTAATGAGATTGTATCTAATGAGAGTAGGGCATGGAAGACAGGAAGGTGGGGCATGGAAGACATGAATAATCTATTTTAGTTAAAATTGCATTGTGTACCCAGGGAAAATGATTTGTAGTTATCTTTATCAAGCAATGTGCAAAATCTTGTTTTAAAATTGTGAAAATAATTATACTCAGTGTAGCCAAGTAAAGATATCAATGGCAGCCAGATAGCATCACAAAATAACATTTTATTGTAGAAAAACACAAATTCAGAGACACTTTGTAAGGGTTTTTTTTTTTATATACAACAGTAAAATAAAGTTCTAGTTTTCAAAACAAGTGATAGTAAACTTTAAAAAAATTACTTGCTCCACTGTAACAGCATAATATACATTGTCTGTACTAGAGAGGTCCTACCACACCCAGCATTGTAGGCAAATTGTGTTATATTTATAGTAGATTGTGAACTCCTGATTGTAAAAAGATCCAGCAATATGAAAATGTACAAGGCATTTTAATGTTTTTATTGTGAAACAAAAGTGCTAAGTGATTCTCAACTAGACATGTTCGTTGCTGTGGCCTCCTCCGCTCTCTGTCAGTGTGCTGCTTTGTCTAGGACCTCTCTTCCTTCATGACTCTACAATTATACCGGATGGTTCGTGCTTAAGTATGATATCTCCCAGTAGTGTCTGCTTTTAACTTGGGACCTCTTAAATGATGGCTTTCTTCCCTCTCCTTGAGTCTACTTTGATCCAGTAATACCTAACCTGCAGAGTCCTTGGCTCTGAGTCTTTTCTCAAAGCTGGGCTGTGTGTCCGCAGATGACTTCTGTACCATAATCTTTCTCTACAAAGATTAAGACTGCATGCAAAGAGCCTTGGCTGCCATTTTGGAAAGATTACCACAGCCTCCAAGGCAATTTGGAGACCACCATTTTGTCAGAAGGGTCACTTTTTTGTTGAGTTCACTGGCATACATTGTAATGAGATAGTTACAAAAAATAGAAAATAATAATTTTTTGTGACAGATCTAAACTCTTCAAATATTGCTGTTAAATATATTTGTTTAATTTTTAAATAATCAAAAACTAACTTGTATATACACATACCAGAGCCCTACAATCAATGAATCATGTTTAGCTCTTGCTAAAGAGAGGTGCAAATTTTCTTTGTTAATCCTCTCAGGTGTCGCAACGTAGCTTTGCTTGAGGTTTGAGGGGTATACTTATGTCAAAGCTTGAGCAATGATTGTGGAGTAGTTGAGGAGCCCCTGTCTTACCACATTCAACAGACCTGAGGTTGTGGCACTCACATACTGGGGACTTGAATGTTGTAGAATGTTTTTGGAGACAGCTTTTAGTAAAGCATCTGAGAACCAAAAGGCTTAGTTCAGTGAAATTCAACACAATGCACAAACATGAGGTAATGACCAAGAAGAAGGTGAAAATGGTTTTCTCCGTGGGTTTGGAAATGAAACAATCGACAGTGTTGGGGCAAGGTTTCAAATCACACTTCATAAGGTAAGGAACACTGAAGCCATCATAGAGTTTGTAAAATAAAACGAGGAACCCAATTTCAAAACCAGTTTTAACAATGAGACTGATCAGGTAAGTGTACCACAGGCCCCCATCCATGGTTCCTGGGCTGACATAGAGCTTCTTTCCATGCCGTTTCTCTCTACTCTCTCGATAGGCCACATGGAGAACCACCAGGAGAGAAGGTGTGGAGACCATGATCAGCTGTAAGGACCAAAGTCTGACTTGGGAAAGGGGGAAGAAGTAATCAAAACACACATTTTCACAACCAGGCTGTCTAATGTTGCATTCAAACTCTTTCTCTTCATCCTTCCACACGTGTTCTGCTGCCACTATGTAGACAAGCAAACGGAAGATGAATACAATGGCCAGCCAAATACGCCCAATCCCAGTTGAATATTTATTCGCTCCGCTTAGGAGGTCTCTGAGAAGCATCCAGCTCATGGCAGGCTGACAAGAAGGCAAGATTCTGTAAAAGACAATTTAATCAATACATTTATTTCTATTCCATTGATAACTTCTATTGCACACTTGTCCATGGATATAATTGATCCCATGTCAATGTTAATGTGGAATTTGGTTGGTTACCCCCACCCTGCACCCATGCACACACCTTTAATCCGCTGTCAAACAATTCTATTATGGTCAGCAAAACCTTTCTAGTGTATTGCTTCTTTCTCAAGGTGGATGGGTTATGCAAAGAACCAGACAGCAATGCCTTTGTGATCCTGGTACTTGAGATGTCCTTCAAGGGTGATTCCCTCCTGCCCCTTCCTCTCTACTTCCTTTATCTCACACCACTGAGTTTGTCTACAATTTGATGGTAAAACGTGAAGCTCTTCAGCCTGAGCTTTCTCAAACTTTTGCTTTCTTTTTTGCCAGCCAAACTTACATCCACACCCAGTTTACTTTCCTTATCTAGTTTAGAGGAAGAGGTTTCCTCCTTTTGCCTCAAAGCAACGATTCCAGCATTCTATCCCACTCATCAGTTTGTATCTTCCTGCTGTCCTGTCTCCTTCCTCTCACCACACAAATAAGCTTCTGTTGTCTATTTTTAGTTAGGATAAGGCAATCTTCATAGCTTATCTTTCTGATACGCTCCCTTCCTTTATTCCTTCCTTTTACTTCCTGGATGACTTTACACTTCAATACGTTGTGTCTACTTCTGTTCACTACTGTACTTATGCTAAAGTTAGCGCTATCACTCAGCTATGGAATGTTTTGTGGCTTTGGATGTTAAATTTTCTGTGACATTTAACAGTGTTGCACTTTTATTCTTCAAACCCAGCCTTAACTATCATACTGCTCTCTCTTCTCTTCCTGTTGTTCTGCTCCCCTTCACTGTTTCATCTTAGTTTTCTTTGTCCAGCTCTTTAAAGTTCTGTCCTCTGCTATTTTGTTTTTTTTTTTGACTTCATATGTTTCCCTTGGACAATGTTCATTCTGTGGATTCAACTAATTCTTTCCATTTCATGACTCTAAAACCTTTGGCTCCACCCCATGCTTCTATATCTTACTACCTCATCATTGTCTAAATATCTGACAGGCGACCCCAAACTTGATATGTCCACACTGAATTTATTTTATTCCCTTCCCTCTGAGTTCTTTATTTTGTTCTTGGTATCACTAATATCAAGCACCCAAGTCACAAATCTCATATGCGTCCTAGACTCCTTTCATGATCCTTTATTAAATAGGCCATCAAGTTCCCATTGTCAGACTCTCTCATGTGTACAACCGCCCTCACTACTTTCTATTTCCAGTCTTACCTCCTCCCCTGCCTTCCTATTTTATACTCAGTGCTATTTGGTTCTCTTACACATCTTTCCATCTCTTGCTCTTTTCTCTGTACAAGCTTTCAGGAAGACTGGGAGCTTTCTTTTTCATTTCAGGAGCAGCAGCTCTCACACTGTTTTGATCTTGTCTTATAATTGAACTTGGTAGTATAGACCCCCGTTTTTACTTATTGGATCCATTATATGCCCATCATTGTTCAATGGTTTTGAATTGGTTCCTCACAACCACCGTGAAGGTAGGCTTTGGGTTTTGTTTGTTTGTTTTATGGGGGTGGAAATTTTGTTCTTTCAAAAGAGAAACCAGAGTCTGGGAAATGAAGCCACTTTTCCAAGTTCACAAAGATGCAGTGCAGGGTTCAAGCCCATTTCCATTACTCTACAACAAGGTTTCTTAACACAGGCACAACTGACATTCTGGGCAGGGCAGTGCTTTGTTTCAGCTTTGTTTGCATTGTAGAATGTTTAGCAACGTCCCTAACTTTCAGATGCCAGTGGTTCCTGTCCCTCCCCCCGATTATGACAAACAATAACATCCCCACTCATTTCCAAGAATACCCTGTAAAGAGGTGGCAAAATGTCCCTAGCAGTGAGAACCACTGTTTTTACCTTTCTACCAGAACCAGAAGATCTGAATTAGTGCTCCAGATCTACCACTAATTACTTTGTGATTTCTGATGTCAAGATGATGCCTTTTCAATTCTAGGTTCCTGTTTAATTTCCTAAAAAAATTAATTACATTGTGTTTTCTCCTTAGACTCAGCCAAAAGAGGATCATGGAAATGGCTTTATAAGGAGAGCCAGGGGGTAAAGAATATTGGGATATTGTTGTAACAGCACACCTGTCGAAGTGGGTGACATTATCTGCTATAAAGGGAACAATAGTGAGCAAATCCACACAGGAGAGCCCTGAAAATATGAAGTAAAGTTAAGAGGTATGTTGAGAGAGAAAAAAATACGTGTACACAATGCTCTCTCTATTCAACAAAAATAAATATTTCAATGTCCTTTTTAAAATGCAAATCAAATTCTGTTAAATAAAAGCTATTCTTAATCTACCTCAAAGGTTAATGTCTTTATGAATTATTAAAACGAAACCCTAAAGATTAAAAAAGGGCAAAAAAGTATTATGTTTCCTAGAAGCATATCATTAGGCATTCGTCCATATTACAGAACATATTTATGTAATGTTACAAAACATTTGAAAATATCGTGATGGGCATTTTAGAGAAGGAAAGAAGGTAAAATTAATCTTTCAAGAATCAAACAAACAGATGGTGCCATCAGCTTCTTAGGATTACAACTTGCATTTCAATCGTAAATGTTCTTTCTGTTTTCAGATTCCATGCTGATGGAAAGACAAAAGCTTTGCTCATCCTGGAGAGGCATCCTAATGTTTATTACTTTTACTTACTTACTTATTTATTTATTTTTCCCTTTACCAGGATTCAAACTCATGACCCTCTGGCTTGCCAGGCAGGCGCTGTGCCGCTGAGCTAAATCCCCAGCACGCTATTTATTCACTTTTAACTAAACTTGTTTAGCATAGTGAATTAGAAGCCTAGACACAGCACTGGACTCCTTGGTATTGAGACGAGCTCGCAGGTTATGATAGTGGAACCTACACCATGGGGCTCATGAGTCTTTCACGAGTTAATGTATATAAAGTCCTCAAAACAGGCCTGGCACATGGTAGACATGTAATGTGCATTATTATTTTGTTTTGTCACTGGAAAGTGGAAGTCTTGTCATTTTATAAACAATACACACTAATTTAATTGCACATAATTAATTTGCATTAGATGTAAGGGATTGGGGTTTGTAGCTCAGTGATACAGCACTTGCCTACCGTGTATGAAGGCTGTAGGCTCAATTTCCAACCCTGAAAAAAAAAAGTTTAAGTGTATTTAATGCAAATGAAATACACATTTTCTCTAGTTCTTACTCTTTCCTTACTTTTAATATTTTTTTATCCATTTTCTTAAATTGCCACATATTCCTAGTTTCTAAAAAACAATTTCACTTATCAATTTTTTCTTTGTTTTTCGTGGTGCTGGGAATCAAACCCAGCGCCTCAAGCATGCTAGGCTAGCACTCAGTCACTGAGGTACACTCCAGACCTTCCATTTAGCAATTCTGATGTATCGATTGCCCTATAACTTTCTTTTTTTTTTTTTTGTCTTTTCTTCCGGTACCAGGAATCAAACTCACGACCTTGCGCTTGCCAGGCAAGCGCTTTGCCACTGAGCTAAATCCCCAGCCCCTGCCCTATAACTTTCTATTAAGAAGTAACAGTTTACTTCACAGGAGTTTGGTGTGAGAAATTAAAATAATAAAGTATTTTCATAACTAAAATGATCAATATCCCCAAATACCAGAAATAATTTTTTACGTTTCTAATTTCTCTTAAATATTTGATGTAAAAGTGAGAACAGGGAGAAGCTACTAAGACAACTGGCTTTCCACATGTAAAAGAATAAAGTTGGACTCTACCTCACACCATTCACAAAAATTACTTCAAAATGAATTTATAACCTAAATATAAAAGGTAAACCCATAAAACTCTTAGAAGAAAACAGGGACAAATCCTCATTACCTTCAGTGTGCTAATGGAATCTTAGAATACCAAAAACATTGGCAATAAAAGAAAAAAATCAAGTTTCATAAAAATTAAAAACTTTTGGGCTGGGAATATAGTTCAGTGGTACAAGTGCCTGCCTGGAAAGCACAAGGTCTTGAGTTCGATTCCCAGAAAAAAAAAAAAAAAAAAAAAAGTAGACAGTGAAAAGACAATCTGTAGTATAAGAGAAAATGTTTGTAAATTATGTATCTGATAGGGGGTTAATATTGTGATGTGTAAGGTAATATTAATAACTTAGCAATAAAAATACTACCAAATTTAAAAGTGGGCAAAGGACTTGAGTAGACAGTTCTCCAAGGAAGATATATAAAATGGCAAATAAGCACATGAAAAGGTACTCAATAGCATTAGTCATGAAGGAAATGTAAATCAAAACCACAAGAAAATACTGCTTGACATTCTCTAGACTGACCATAATCTTAGAAATGTAAGGTAAGTGTTGATGAAGATATGTGGAAACCAGATCCCTCATGCCTGCTGATGGAAATGTAAGGTGGTGTAACAGCTGTGGAAAAGTGTTTGGAAATTATGAAAGAGCTAAACCTAAAGTGACCATATGACCCAGCAATCCTTACTCCTAACTATACAACCCAAAGAACTGAAAACAAGGACTTAAACTTGCATCTCAGTGTTCAATCCAGCGTTATTCTCAATAGCCAAAATGTAGAAATAGCCCCGGTATATATTACAGATGGTAGATAAACAAAGTGTGGTTCATACGTATCATGGAATATTATTCATCCATAAAAAGGTGTAAAATTCTGTCTCATGTTGAAGATATTGAGCTAAATGAAGGAAAGCAGGCCTAAAAGGACAAATATTATATGATTGCAGGTATATCAAATATCCACCACAGACAAATTCATGCAAAGTAGATTAGAGGTTGCCAAGGGCAGGAAGAACGGGGGGTGGGGCGGGGGAAGGAAGCTACTGCTTAATGTTTGCAGGGTTTCTGTCTGGGCAGTGAAAGTTTTGAAGATGGTTATACAGCAGTGCGAGTACAATTAAAAGTCAGAATTATACATGTAAAAATTATTAAAAGCGAAATTTTATATATCTTACTACAATTTAAAAAGTGAATGGGAGGAAGCATACTTGATATATAGAGACAACAGAAGCTCATAAAATCTAAACATTTAAAGAATCATTTAAAGAATAGAAATAGGGACAAAGGAAAGAATAAAATATTAATTATGCTTATCATTGATTTTGGTTGTTAGGAATTATTTTATTTTTATGATTTTCTACATTACTCATTTGTGACAATGGAAATACTGAAAATTAAGTCTGGAAAAAATAAACCTAATTAAAAAAAAACACTGAGTGTTTATATCTGCTCTTTACACAGTGCTCTCTGCCTCCATAAACTTCACTGCAGTCCATCCAAGTGAGGAAGCCATAAGCTTAAAAATTGTTTTCCCCTCATACAGATCATATAGTCTCATTTTTCAGCTTACAGCTCTACTACAACTTCCCGTTCATTTCGTTTTTTGTTTTTGGTTTTTTGTTTTGTTTTTTTTCTGGTATCGAGAATCAAACTCATGACCTCAAGCTTGCCAGGCAGGCGCTGTGCCGCTGAGCTAAATCCCCAACCCCTGCTTTTATGGTGGGAAAGAGTCCAATAAAGGGGTGCCAGAGGGACCAAAATGGCACAGTAGTGATCAGCAACAAAATTCAGCCCCTACTGAAAGCCAGAATCTAGACACCTGGAAGAGAACAAAGAGACAAAGAAGAAAAAAAATATAGATCTCCTGGAATTGGGAAGGTAGTACAAGAAAATTAAAATCTACAGACAAGTTGGAGAAATGGACCACAACACAGAGGAAAGAACAAAGCAGTGTGGAAATTGACCCGAGCTCCTAGGAAGGGGAACGTTCCTCCGCAGACACAAGGTAAACCCCCAGGAGTCCACTGCTGTTGTAAACCGCAAAAGCAGTGTGTGGTTTTGCTCAAGGTGACTCCTTCCACGTTTCCGGCAGCAGCCAGGGAATCCAGTGCAGTAGCATCATGCTGCCAGAAAGTGCTTAATCAGGTGCCACAGGGGATTCATTATTTAAGTCCAAGGCTCAGAACAACTCAAAAACGACTTCACTAAGATGAGAGCCATGAGAGACAGGGAGAGAGTGCCGCTGGACAGAGAACCCCTGACAAGTTTAAACTCAGGCCAGAAGAGCAGAGGTCCCATCCTCTGGTGAGAAGCCAGGCACAACTTGTGCTGCACTCCGAAGCAGCTGGGTCTGAAAGTGCTGCTCTTAAGTGCAGAGATCACTTTAAACCTTTCCCTGTATCTAGATCTGAGGTCTGATTGCCTTCCCTATCTACCAACATGAGCAAGGACACACTTGAGCTTGGATGGATGCCACAGGCCGGGGACTCTGCAACAAGGGCACCTCACAGACCCACAGGCCATAAAATGCTAGCTGGAGAAAACAGTGACTTGCTAGATTTCCGAACTGGATCCTGGAAAGAAACCACTCATTAAAAAATGTAGACAATTTTTTTTTTCTTTTTCGGGTTCATTTTTTTTTCTTCTTCACTGGTAAGCATTTGGGGAAGTTCCTCCGTTTTTTCCTTTCTTTTCTCCTTTTTTTTTTTTTTCAGCGCTCATTTTTTTTCCCATTTTTTATTACCAATTGCTCACAGTACATGATGTTTATTACGGGAAGCCTGTACATGTACACAGCAACTCTTCTTTTTTGTCTCCTAACTCTCCCATCCCTCCCTGGTCCTTCCATCTCTTGGTCCCCTTCCCACTTGAAAAAGGTCTTCCTACTTCCTATTATCTACTTTATTTTGCTTTTTTATAGTTTGGGTTTCTCATATAAGAGAAACCATGCAGTATTTAAGCTTATATGATTGATTTCACTTACCATTATAGTCTCAAGGTACGTCCATTTATGTATGTTTTGCTTTTATCCTTCTTTATGCAGAGTAGTATTCCATTATATATAAATACATTTTCTTTATCCATTAATGTGTTGATGGGCATATAGGCCCTTTCTAAGATTTAGCTATTATAAATTGTGCTGCTTATAACAAAGGCATGAGTATATCACTGTAATATGATGGGAACATACCTAGAAGAGGAATAAGTGAGTCAAACAGACTTTCTGGTTTTGGTTTTATGTGGACTTTCCATACTGATTTCCGTAGCGCTTTTACCCACCAACAGTGTATGATTCCTTCTTACCCACAGCCTTTTCAACACTTGTTATTATTTGATTTCTTGATGACAGCCATTCTTTCTGAAGATAAAGTCTCAGTGTTGTTTTAATTTGCATTTCCCTCATAGGCAGATATGTTCATTTTTTTTCATGTATTTATTATTGTCCATTTGCATTTCTTCTTTTGAGAAGTGTCCATTCATTTCAGTTGCCCATTTTTTTGCAGAGTCTTTTATGGGAGGGGGTGTCTAATTGTTTTGAGATCTTTCTATGTTTTTCCTTTTAATTTCTTCCCTTTTTTCATTCTTTTTTACTGCTTTATTGGGGTTTGGAGAATTCCCTTGTTTTCTTTTTTCCTCTTTCTTCTTATTTTATTTTCCACATTTTTCTTTTCTCTCCCTTTTTCTTTTACCTTCTTTTTCTTATTTGTTCTTCTTTGTTACATTTGTCTAATTCTCTTTATAAATTTCCACTCTAGTAGGATCCTTTTGCCTCACTATTCTTTCCTTCTCTTTTCTTAACACTACATCTTAACCTCCCAAGTTAATGGAGGTGGTTGCATCTTAGGACAGAAGCAAAGGCCTATAGTTAGCCATACACAGAGTGTATCACTGAAAATCAGACACTAAACAGATGTTTGTAATAACTTAGACAATCCAAGACAAATGGATATGAATTAGCAAAACTGAATCAAGAAGATATAAAAACCCTGAACAATCCAATAACAGGCAATTAAATTGAAG